CTAAACCCCTAAACCCTAAACTACATAAGGCACCCTGGCTTCAAGAAGCCTCCTTGGCCGAGGCCCTGAATCCTTTAGAGCAGATATCCGGCTCAGTACATTGGGCTTTTAGCTTTTGGGCTTAGAGCTTCTTGGGGTTAGGATTTAGGATTTAGGCTTTTGGCTTTAGGGTTTAGGTTTTTTGGGCTGGAAGGCTTAGGGGTTCAGGCTATACCTATAGTCTCCATTGTAGTTCCTTTTTTTGGTTTAACCAACTATATATTAAGGATTTTATGAGGTATCCCCAAAAAGGAACTGCAATGGAGACTATAGGTAGGGTCTAGAGTCTCGGGTTTCATAAGCTTTCTGGCCGAGAGCACCTGCTGCATGTGGGTGATTCTTCAAAAGGGGGCGTCCATTTCAAGGACCCGCAATTTCTCCACTTCCCATGTCGACTATCCGCTTTAGGCTTTAAGACGTCGGTCTTAGCAGTCAGGGTTTGCAACTTGGACACTAGCTTTCGGCTCCTGGGCTCCGGAGTGCTTTGCGCGTTTAAGTTTCCCAGCCGGGCGGGATACGTCAGCGCCTTGGACAGACTGGTACTGATGTGTTGACGTTGTATAAATAAAGCCGGAATGCTGGGTGTTCAATACTTCGGGTTTAAATTACCTGATAAAACCCTAAACCCAATTTAGAGTTTCAGTGGCCTGCGGTTTAGCTGGGAATTGAGGTAGAGGCCCGTTCGCCCCAAGCTATACTGGAAGCTTCACTGTCAACTGCATCACATGTCGGTCGAAAGGAAACCGCTCCAGTCTAGTGGCAAAGGTCGGGTAATGTATTGGCCTTAGTCGTTAGAATGGGTTTCGCGCAGTGGCAAGAAGGAGCCCTGGGGAAATTGCCGAACCCTAAACCCTAAACCCTAAACCCCTAAACCCAAACCCCCTAAACCCAAAACCCTAAACCCCAAAACCCCTAAACCCTAAACCCCTAAACCCTACATTTTTTGAATCAATCCGACCATAGTTTCTCTAACCCACGATTGCCCGGCCCTGGTCTGCAAAGACTCTACCGGTTCCCTGAGGTTACGGTACAGGTTTAGGGTTTAGGGTTTTTGGGGTTTAGGGTTTAGGGTTTTAGGGTTTAGGGTTTAGGGTTTAGGGTTTTAGGGTTTAGGGTTTAGGGTTGTTTGTGTATGGTTGCAAAAAGGTTACTATGACGTCTCCATGAAGTTACTGAAAGGTACGGGACTGTGTGGACCCCAGAACCCGACCCACTCTAAACCCCGATCCCTGCAGCCGATACCTCAGGGTTTAGGGTTTCGGGTTCAAGGGGTTAGGGCTTAGGGTTTTTAGGGTTTAGGGTTTAGGGTTTCGGGTTCAGGGGGTTGTCTAGGGTGCTAAAGAAACCCTAACCAGGGGTTAGGGCTTAGGGTTTTTAGGGTTTAGGGTTTAGGGTTTCGGGTTCAGGGGGTTGTCTAGGGTGCTAAAGAAACCCTAACCCTTAGGCCTAAACTGCAGAGCTCTGGCGAAATGAGGCCCCCAGCGGAGCAGTCGGCGCAGTTCATGGAGGACTGGGGCAGAAATCTTAGGCCACTCCGCAACCCTCAAGACTTGAGAACTTGAAACCTGAGTTCCGAAAAATCTCAAAGCCTGAGCCCAAATCCTAGACTGCAACAGCGGACCCTAAACCCTAAACCCTAAACCCTAAAACCTAAATGACAGTGGAAGCCTTCCGAACGAAATTCAGGGCCACAGACCCGAACCTTTAGGGTTTAGGGTTTAGGGTTTAGGGTTTAGGGTTTAGGTTTTAGGGTGTAGGGGTTTTTTTTAAAGTGCGATGCGCCTCTTTTCCAAGATGCACTGCCCTCATCGGGCTCAC